CTTCCTTCCTTCCTTCCTTCCTTCCTTCCTTCCTTCCTTCCTTCCTTCCTTTTTTTTCCTATGGAAACAAGGCCTAAAGCTGGGCTAGAACTCACAATCATTTTGCTTACAGTTCTTAATCACTTAAATTACATATGTGTACCACTTCATCTGATTTTTATCTATATTTCTCTCATTTTTAATGATTTCAATGAGCATACAAGGTGTTGGATATTATAATGGTCTCCTGAACAAGTGTGTTTCCTGATTCTCCTTTCCATTCCCCCTCTCTCTTCCTGATATCTGGATCCCTTTTTGTAGCCTCCCAAGCTTTTTTTCTCTTCTATTTGCCGTATTTATCTGTATTTTTGTCCTCAAACATTTATCTCACTTTAAATTTTGTGCATGCATGTGTTGTGTGGGCATATCCATATGAGCACAATCACCTGTGGAGGCTAGAAGAGAGCACCAGGGTCCCTGGAGCTGGAGTTACAGATGGTTGTGAGTTCCCGTCTGGGTGTGGGGAACTGAACTCAGGTCCTTGGCAAAAGCAGTGTGTGCTCTTAACCACTGAGTTATCTCTCTAACCCCACATATATATTTCTTAATGAAAAATATCTTGATATTGAGCTGCCATATATAGTTATTGCTTAGTTTTCATTCACAAATAATGTAAAAATTTGGTATTTCTAGCAACTGGGTATGTATTCTACCTCATCCACTGTTTCTCGGGTGATATTTTCAAAATTTAAATTTTTTCCAGTAGGATGGGTAATAGAAATTTGTCTAATTATTGCTTTATTTGTATGTTCTCCATTCCCAGATGGCTGAACATGTCAATCATTCATGTTTATGAATAAAGCACCTTTTCAAGTGCCTTACACATCTTCCTACCACATTGATAAGCTATTCATAAATGGTTTCTAGGGATCCCTTATCAAGTCAGTTTTTGTCCATTGTATTTGATCTGTGCCAAATAATTTTACAAGTCTATAAATTGCTTCTTAATTCTAGGATATCTTTTCATCTATCTGTCTATCTATCTATCTATCTATCTATCTATCTATCTATCTATCTATCTATCTATCTATCTATCTATCTATCCGTGTGCATATGTGAGGTGCTTATGGAGGCCAGAAGAGGGTGTCAGATTTGCTGGAGGTGGTTATAGTTGATTGTGAGCCACTTGATGACGGTATGCTGGGAACTAAACTATAGTCCTCTAGAACAGTAGCAGATTTGCTTAACTCTTAGCCACCTGTATAGTCCCTCTTTATTTTTTAACTATATAGAAAATTAGAATTCGTGGATTTTTTTCTGGGGTTGTTATTATGTTTTATTAAGGAAACCTCACTTGCTCAGCATTACCTCTCTTCTGTATATATATATATATATATATATATATATATATATATCTACACATGTATAGTTTGTAAAATGTCTCCTAATACTGCTATTTTCAAGACTTTAAAAATGTCACAAGTATTTGAATTTCTGCTTTATCTATGTTGTGAAAGAGGGTTCAACTTTTCATTTTCATTTTGTGTATAGAGATTGAGAAATTCAGTCAATTTTTAGGATTCAAAATCAACATGCAAAGCTAAAAAGGTTTTTATGCGTTCATAATATGAACTCCTTGAGAAAGAAACCAGGAAAAGAACCTCTTATGTAAGGGCAATAAGGAAATAAAATACCTAGACATAATACCAAGGAAGAGGATTACAAATTACTGAAGAAAGAAGACACCAGAAAAATGAAAAATAGCCCATGTTCATGGATTGATAATTGATTTGTTAAAATAGCCACAATTCAAATAGGTCAACAGATTCAATGCAATTTCCATCAAAACACCAGAAGAAAAACACAACCCATGTCATGTGTAAGAGCAACAAACCCCAAAGCTGTTCTTAACAAACAGAGCAATGCTGTAAACATTGTAATACGTGACTTCAAATTCAGATGATAGGCTCTCCATGGTCTTGGCCTTTTGAATACTTGGTCCCCAGTTGGTGGTGCTTTTTGGGGAGGTTTAGGATGTATGGCGTTGTTTGAATAAGTATGTCAGTAGAGGCAGTCTTTGAGGATTTAAAGACTCAAGCCATTGCTAGTCCACTGTCTCCACTTTGTGCTTGCAGTTTAAGATATGAGCCCCCAGATTCCTATTCCTTCCACCACACCTTTATTCTACCCACCACCATGGACTCCAATCCTTTAGAACCACAAACCCAAATAAACTCTTCTACAAGTTGTAAAATAACATATTATCATTGCTGTAGTCACAAAACAATATGGCATTGTTTTAAATTGGTATAAATAAATGCAGAACACAGAGCCATGGAACAGAATGGGAGATTCAGTCTGGGTGGCCTGCACAGCCACTTGGGACCATGGTGGCAGCATGGACTGATTTGCTGCTGAGAGTCATGTCTGGGTCTGTGGTCCTACCATGGCCAGGGTCTTTGTTGGTACCCCTGGCCCATGTTGCCACCAGGGCCTATCTGGATGCCTGTGGTCGGGGCCACAACCTGTGACCATGTTGGTGTCTGAGGGCTGTGCTGCTGCTGGTGCCAGGCCAATTTGGGTGGTCAGGGTTTTCAACTGGATCTGTGTTATCAATCAGATCAGGGCTGTGGCTGAGGATCATGTCTGGGGTGTGGCCCTGCCACATCCAGGTTCTGTGTTGATGTCTGTGACTCCCGAAACCATCAAAGACTGTGTTGATGCTGGGGGTCTAGGCTGCCACCTGGGACCATGTTTGTGTCTGAGAGTCTTACTGCTGTGGGGGCTGTGCTGGTCCAGATGGCCTGCACTGTCACCTGGGACCATGGTGACATTTGGGCTCAGGTTGCTACCTAGGACCGTCTCTGGGTCCATGGTCCTACCACAGTTAGGTTCTCTTATTGATGTTCGCGACCTAAGTTGCCACTAAAGGCCACATAGACACAAGAGATCTGGGCTGCAATCTGTGGCCATGTGGCCATCCGAGGGTCATGCTGCCAGCAGGGACATCCTGATCTGAGCAGCGTATGCCATCACATGGTCTCATCCAGGCCAGGGCTGAGAGCCATCTGTGGCCCTATAGTAGCCAGGGTCTGAGTTGATGTCCGAGGCTTCTGTTATCACTGAGGGCCATGCGGATGATGACCAGGGTGGTGTGGCCACCTCCAACCATGTCAGTGCCTGAGAACCATGCCTAGCTAGCGTCACGCTGATCTGGGTGGCCAGTGCTGGTACCTGGAGTCATGGAGATGTCCAGACATGGGCCACTGCCTAGGGCCTTGTCTGGATCCATGGTCCTGTGGAGGCTGGTGTCTGGGGCTGGGCCCACGCTGCTGCTGAGGGCCATGCTTGGGTACAAGGTCCTGCTGAAGCTGATGGCTGTGGTGAAGTCCATTGCTAGTGTTAGCATGAAGATCATTGGAGCCATTCTGTACTGAGCTGACCCCACTCTTCACTTGCTCTGGCATGGCTGGTCCTGCCCCTTACTGGGTATTGTAGCAAGCAAGCTTGCCCTGCCTCAGGTAAGGAGTTACTTCCTGCACTCAGGAGAGATGGCTCTACCCCTTACCATAGACATGCACCTCACCTGGGAAGCACACTAGAGCTGACCCTGTGGTTAGGACTAAGGTGAGCTGGCCCTGAGGACATGAGAGCAGGAGAGTTGACCCCACCCCCCACTTACCTGCCATGTGGTGGCACAGGTGAGGCAATGATGTCCTGTTCCCCTCACCTATTACCATCTACAGCAGGTGGAAGAGTTGGCCCTGGGGTCATTTGGCCCTGGGGTCATAAGAGTGGGAGAGCTAGCTCTGACCCTCACCAGCTGCAGCACATGAGAAAGCAGCCTCTGCTTCCCTTCTGGGCACCACACTAGAGCAACAGAACTGACCCTGTCCTACCTTGTATGCCACCTGCAGTAATTGGGAGAGAGGGCTTCTCCTATTCTTAGTAAAATAGAGCTGGCCTTGGTGATATGAATAAGAGGGGCCTGGATCTGAGGGCCTGAGAGCAGGAGAACTGGCCCTGTTCCTTGCTGTAGGCTGCATCGGGTGAGCTAGCCAAGGCAGTGCTGGAGAGAAGAGGGAAAACAAGTGAGCTGATCAACCTAGCTACCATTCAGGCCCAGAACCGGGGCTATGAGTTGGCCCACTCCAACATCCACCAAATCTATGAACTGTTGGAGCATGCGACCATCTACAGACCCAAAACAGCAGGATCTCCATGACACAGGACAGCAGGATAGCCAAGAGGAGCCCCAGTGGAGCCCATTACCAGTGGTGTAGCAGAACACAGGCCTGGAGTCAGACCAACGACTCATGGCAACGAACACTTGCAAGTAAAGATGAATATGGTAAACTGTGTCTCAATGGGACACTACAGCGTCCATTACAAGAGTCTTCTCTTTCTCTTTTATAGTTTCTGTTTGGTTTTGTTTCTTTATTTTGTTAGGTTTTCAGTTTTTCTTTTAAATTTGTTTTTGTTTTTGGGGGAGAGGTTGCTATGGTAGAGGGTGGATGTGAGGGGATGGGGAGATAAGTGGGATTGGAAATGAATGATGTGAAATCCACAAAGAATCAATAAAAATTAAAAAAGACAAGAAAACAAATAATCCAGCCAAAAATGGGCCAATGTTCTGAATAATATTCAAAGAAGAAATATAAACAGTCAATAAATAGATGACAAGAGCTCAATATTCTTAGCCATTAGAAATGAAATTAAAGCACATTGAGGTTCTGTTTTCATCTCGTTTAAAATGGCTGTTGTAAAAACAGTATTATTATCTAAGAAGAAGTGATGCAGAAGAGGGAGTGCTTACAGGTCATTGGTAGGAATGCGGCATAGGAGCTACAGAAAACAGTATAGATTTTCCTTAGAAAACTAAAACTAGGACTCACATATGATCTAGATGATCATTTCTGGCCATATAACTGAAGGAAATGAAGTTGGCGTACAAAAGAGATACATGTATATCCATTTTACTTTTTATTTTATGATGCTTATTATTATTATATTATTGTTATTTTACCTCCCCATCACAGTTTCCCTTTCATTCTCTGACCTGATTCCTCCTGTTCCCATCCCCACCTGCCCCAATACAAATCTATTCTATTTCCCCTTTTCAGAGAGATCCAACTGTCCCCCTTGAGTCCTTCTTATTAATTAGTTTCTCTGGTCTTTGGCTGTAGCATATTTGTTCTTTGCTTTATAGCTAATATCCACTAGTAAGTGAGTACATACCATTCTGTCTTTCTGGGTCTGGGTTCCCTTACTTAGGATGAAGTTTTTCTAGTTCCACCCATTTGCCTGCAAATTTCACAATGCCATTGGTTTTAACAGCTGAGTAATACTCCGTTGTGTAACTGTACCACATTTTTTTTTAATCCATTCTTTGGTTGAGGGACATCTAGGTTTTTTCAAGTTTCTGGCTATTTCAAATAAAGATGCTATGAACATATCTGAGCAAGTGTCCTTGCGGTATGATGGACCATCCTTTGGTATACCCACTTTATTATGAAACTGTTCCCAACAATCAAGATATGAAATTAGCCTGGGCGTAAATGTAATCTGAAAGTTGGAGCAGAATGATTAGGTACTGGACGAGGGTCTGGGAAAGCTTTGGGTAAAGTGGGGAGGCTGGGGAAAGGTCGATGAGGGGAATTGTATGACTATACCCCAGTGTGTGGACATATGGAAATGCTGTACTGAAACTCATGAAGTTTTACAGTTAACATCTTTTGATAATTACTGTAAGACATTTGTTTAGATACTACTATTTTTTTACTTATTTAAAATTTTACCTTTATGATATGAATTCACATATAAATGGATCGTCTAGAGTTTTTCTTTCTGTCATCTGTTGGTGCACTACCATGTCAGTAACATACTTAAATTATAGGAGTTTTATAATAATCTTTGATATTTGTCAGGACTATTTTCCAATCATTATTTTCCTCATTTTACATTTTCTTGGTTGCTTTCATGCATTTAAATTCTAGATGAAATTTAGACTTATCTTGCAATATTTCATAAAATAGTCGTGTTGAAAATTGGATTGGAATTTTATTATTTTGTACCAGTTGTTATATTAGTAACAAATGCATAAACCCATGTAAAATATAAATGATTCTGAAACCACAGAAATGAAGTACAAAGGATCCTGAAGTATCTCAGATCCTGGAGAGCATCATTTGTTGACTAGTGGCACAGGCCGTGACTGTTCTTCAGTCCTTAGCAGCCCAAGCCCTGTGTTTTCTCACCTTGTCCTTGTCACTAATGTGTCTCAGAGCCTTCAGTGCCTGCTATCCATGCCCTCCAGGTTAAGTTCCAGTTAGCCCTAAGTCACTGACTTAGTCTGTTTCCTATAACTGTAACAAGATACCAGAGACAATGTATAAAGAGAAAAGACGACTTCTGATAACTGTTTTGTATCTTCCAGTCCATAATTTAGTGACTCCCATGGCTTTGAGCATCTGGTGAGGGAGACATATCATGGTTATATGCCTGTGGCAGAGCTAAATTTCCCATCTCATGAGACAGGAAACAGGAAAGAGAAAGTGGCTAGGGTACCATGGTCCCTTTCAATACCATATTCTTAAAGATGTCAGAACTTACCCCTCCTGAAAGTCTGTAGTACTTCCTAACAGTTCCACTCCAAGGATCAAGTCTTCAATACCCAGACATTTGAGGGTACTTAGCATCATCTCGTTTCACAGATCTTCACAGTACAGGCATCTCTACTACTTGCATGGGTTGGTGATGTGGGATTCCCCTCTGTAGGCTGTTAATACCATTGGTTAATAAAGAACTGTCTTGGGCCTGAGCAGAGCAGAATAGAGGTAGGTGGGGAAAACTAAACTGAATGCTGGGAGAAAGAAGATGGAGTCAGAGAGAAGCCATGGAGCCGCCAGAGATAGAAATGGTGGAACCTTGCTAGTAGGCCGTGAGCTTTGTGGCAAAATATAAAATAATGGAAATGGGTAAATTAAGATGTAAGAGTTAGCCAATAGGAAGCTAGAGCTAATGGACCAAGCATTGATTTAATTAATACAGTTTCCATGGGGTTATTTCAGGAGTCTGGTCAGCTGGAAAATGAACAAGCGGCCTCCCTATTAAAAATCAGTACTCAAATGTGGTCAACTATATCCATGTAAAACCTGAGAAAGCCTGAAAAGGAACCATAGACACAAAACCCTCCAAAGTTTAGCTTTTCAACTGGTGGCATGCTGCAACTCCTTTAAGAGAGGTTGTCCTGATTCAGGTAGTAGCAAACAACAACAACAACAACAACAACAACAACAACAACAAAAATCACGTGGGTTTCAAACGACTTCCTGGGCCTTGTTTGCTAGTATGCAAACTCTGGCTCTATCAGGTGGCCTAGCTGAGACAATGCAAAGTTGGATCCATTTATTTCCTCCTTCAGTTTACCTGAATTTAGGCACTGTGGATCGTATCCATTTTTTCTCAGCATTTCTTCCACCAGTGGATGTGATATAAATGACACAAAACCGATCACGTTGTATATAAAATGGGCAATGGGAACAGGAGGGAGAAGAATGAAAACCAGAATCCTTCTTTAGAGTGCTGAAGAGAAGGGGAGGGTAATTACATCTGAGCAATAAGGGGAAGGAGAAGCAAGCCACAGTCCTCATATATGTTTTTGGTTGCAAATTTCTTGAACTTTAGCTTTCATCTGACTTTGGCACTTCTCCTTGTTTTAGACTTATATGATAGAATTGATTTTCCTTCTCTCATGGACTTATCTTCATTTCTGAGGTATCTAAGCAACCTGCATTACTGGATATTAAGGATTTTGGCTGTCTTATATTAACAACTAAAAGGACTTTCCCAGAGAGTCTGTGTTGCTGAGGCTTTAAGAAAAACGTGGTTTCACTCTTAAATGTTCTTTGGTGTTTAGGGTTTAATGTGTTCCAGCATGGCATACAGTTTTAGTAGGGAGTTTAGAGACAGAAAGGTGGGACATGGTTAGACTATCTCCTTTGGTTTCAAAAAGTCACTGATGTGTTCAGTTATATCCTAGGACACCTAGTTAGTCACATGACCTGAGATAGTCCAATTCCTTTCTTTGTTTCTTTTCTCAGTAGAATAGAGATCACACAGTGGTCTAGTGATTGTTCTTTGTTCCAAAATCAGCAAAATCTTTTCTGGTGTTTGTATTTGTGGCATATACATTAAAATTTATACAACACATAATTACTTGTTTCTCTTTTATCTTGATAGCCTTGTTTACTTAATTTTGAACTAATATCCTCTGTTTTTCAAAAAGCTGTCTCAAAACCAGTTTAAACCTAGTTAAGGTAATTGTAAATAAGTAGAGGTGCCTATGTTAAAGCAACTTATCACTAGTTGGGATCAGTTGGGATCAGATTGGAAAGAACATTCATTTAGTCCTTAGTAAGAGGTGGTCTCCCTCCCCACCTTCCCTTTTTCTTTTCTTAGACAAGGTCTTATATATCCTAGGTTGGCTTGAACTTACTGTATAGACGACCCTAAACTCCTGATCAATCCTTTTGCCTCTACCTTTCAAGTTCTGGAACTACAGGTTGCGGTGTTGGGATCAAACCTAGAGGCTTCCTGAATGCTGGGAAAGTACTCTTCCCACGGAGCCACACCCCCAACTTCTGGTCAGAGTTCTCGGACATTTGTAAGACAGATGCCCAACTTGCATTTCAGAGCAGACCTCAAGACTGAAACTTGTAATGGTGTGTACCAGCCTTTTCCATCTAGTGGCTCACAGCTGCATTCCAATAAGTTTGTGTGTTTAAAAATAGTAACAACATTTAGCTAAGCAGCTAATAAATTATTTAACATGGTCTAGTTTTTTGTTTGGAAATGGGACAGTTTTGTCTCCTTTGAGTGTATTTTCAATGAACACTCTGGCTAATGGCAATCAGATGAATGTGCTCAGAAAGTCTGGTTTATGGTTTGATCATTGTGTAGTTTTAAATAATTTTATTCATAGTGGATGCTATTTAATTTGCACCCATGGTGGACTATTGATAAATACAAGAACCGTAATGAAGCCTGCTGTTGAAGTATAAGTTAATGGTAATAATTTAGCAACTTCACCTCAAGATGTCTTACTAAAATTTTAAGTAGCATTCCGTTAATTAAACCTCTTATGTGGCATATTAAACATTATTCAAATTAAGAGAGGATCATTGTCAGGATGATATTGAACAATGTGTCATTTACAGAACTCTATATTTGGGTTCAAACAAATGTGCTATAATATCAGTTTTATAGTACACTTAGATATTCATATTTATCTTAAGGTAAATAGCCTGTAATTTGCTAACTATGAAAAAAGTCTTTTTACATTGCGAGTTATTAAATATATTACAAAATGAATTTAAATATAGTATTTAATAATATGGTGATTAGAGTTTTAACTTACAGCAATTTATTTATTATATTTTATACAAAATTTGAAAACATTGATGAAGGAGTCAAAAGGTGCACTCTGTGTGTTTGTGTTTCTGTGTACGTGTATATGTATGTGCATCTTTTCATAGAAAAGACTTTATAAGTAAAAAGAAACAGTAGAAAATGACTTCCATAGGTATCAGATTGCCCACTTTGTTTTTGTGAAATTGTGCCTTTGGCAGAGGCAGTGTTATGCAGGACTCTGATGGTATTGGCAAATAGGTGATAAACAGAGAAAGAAGTATTGATCCCTGATATGTTTATTCTTGAGGAAAAAATTTCTCCTTCATTCATGACAGAGAATGATGCCATGCCGTTTTCTACAAGAGAATGAGTTCAGCATTAAATTATCTGATTTAGGCCGGTTGTGGTAGCACATGCCAATAGGATTTGCTGAAGGAGGCAGAGGCAGGAGGATCATGAGTTCTAGGCCAGACAGAAACAAAACAAAACAAAAATTCCAGGGGCTGAAGAGATGGCTCAGTGGTTAAGAACACTGCCTACTCTTCCAGAAGAGCCAGGTTCAGTTCCCAGCAGACTGCCTGTAATTCCAGTTCCAGGAGATCTGACACGTTCACACTGAAGCACATAAAACAAATTTAAAAAATGAAGTTAACTGATTTAGGATTAGCAAATAGAAGTCCATGCTATGAGCCAATGCATATTCTCTACCTGGTCATTATGGTCTTCAATTTATTAGTATGTTTAGTGTTGAATGAGTATTGCCAATTGGCAATACCAAAATGGATCCCTGATTACTGAGGATGTTGGCTGAAATGGGAGAATTTTTATGGGAACCCATGTCTGGAATAAATGTGTTTAGATTTTGTGCTCATTCTGAATGCCCACTCTGGGTTCACAGGTATTTCTACATTTTGTGGAACTTATCATATAGTCCTTATTAAGCTCAGAGAACACTTCCTACTTCTTATTTCCAGGACCTATCAGTGTAATATCACCATGCAGTGCCCTGGTATGGGGTCCTAACAAAGATGAATGGGTAAGGCTACTATAAGTTCAAAGGTGTCAAACGGTACTATCATTGTAAAAATTATTGTGTCTCTCAAGGTAGGGATGTGTGACAAATTACTTCCATGAGTTTTTACATAATAAAACAAAATAATTTATTAAGTAGAAATTAGCAGATAGCTAGCTTTGAGAAGGGGAGGTGAGCACAAAGTCCCACCCTAGCTGAAGAGCTGTTGGCATTTGAGAGGTGAGAGGGAGAAGGATGGGGAGAGTGGGAGGGGGGAGGACTTGAAGAATGTTGGGAGAGGGAATGAATATGAACACAAAATATTGTATGAAAATCAAAGAGTCAATAAAAACATTAAAAATATATTAACAGGAAAGGGTTTAGTTCAGTGTTAGAGTGCCTGCCCAACTTATACAAGGTGTCGTATTGTAAAAAAAAAAAGGCGATAGAAGAAATTAACTGAAGTTAACAGACTTGCGACTTTCAAGTCTTTGATAGTCACGATAATGTCTTCAGCCTTACCCAGAATGCAACTTGACCTTCATTTGATTACTGTAGAAGGCAGAATAGTAATTATTGACTTTTGCTTAGCACTTACTATCACAGAAGCCAGTGTTCATGAGTCGTTGCCCCATGGTAGGAAATTTCTCTTGACCTCCAGAGCTAAAGCCTAAGAATCAAACGAGATACTCTCATACACACAATACTCGAATGTTCTGGATGAGGAGGTTGTCTGTTCACGTGTCCTTGAGCTTTTTTCACCTTTATGTTTTGGACTGTACAAATCAATTGGAGTCCTATTGACTGACTGATTCCTGAGACCTTCATAGGATAAGACAAAGAAAGAATCAGTTCTGTAAGGAAGCACTATCAAAGAGCCTTGGAAACTGTAATAATTTAGGCCCAGTTTACTTCAAGTGATCCTGTTCTGTTGCAGTCTACATCCAGGACTCTTCCCACTCCATTTTGATTTTAGATGTTGCCTTAAAGGGTTGTGCCGTAGAGAAAAACCATATCCCCCCTCTTGGGAGAGTTATTTTTCAATATTCAGTTCCTTGATTGCCAATCTGCCCGTGAACCTGATTTTATATTATGTAAGTATCATATAACATAATTATTATAATCTATAATTATTAGCTTACATATTATATATTATTTTATATTATATATCAAATATTTCTACCTTCTGTAGTCTTTGAAAGTTTTCTGCTTAAGTATTTGGCTTAGGATCTTGGTTCTTTTTGTTTGTTTTTTGAGACAGGGTTTTTCTGTGTAACTTTGGAGCCTGTCCTGATACTCACTCCGTAGCCCAGGCTGTCCTCAAACTCTAAGAGATCTGCCTGCCTTTGCATCCT